GGAATAGCTAATCGGTCGATTAGAGTCAAAAACATTGTTTTTATAGCTTCATTAATTTTTTACCTTGAGAGGGAGCTATACATCATAAAGAGTTTATTATTTACAATTTCATAACTTTAGACTCGATTTCAACCGCGACAACGATCACTGAATATTGTAGGATCGCATAATTATTCTTCCAATATGTTCATTTGAACCAAATTTATGACCCCATGCCAAAACTTTGTATTACCTTTAATATAATATATGAAATTAATATATTGCATATGACATTTCATTTAAATGAAATTATCATCTTCTTGAAAGGAAACTTAGAGATACAAAGTCAGGCAACGAAAGGGCCGGGGATATAAAAACAGGAAGCCATCGTGGAGGCCTGCTGAAGTGGTGTTGGATTCAGGCGAGTGAATATTTGAGGAAAACAAGTTGGGAAGGGGCATTATACAAGCCATTGAGACGACGGAGATTAAAAAGTCCTTTCGGAAAGGAGGCCGGCTTCAAAAAATTGGAGAAGGGGGTCATAAATCTGGGTGGAGATAATGGTTAATCCTATAAAAAGAGTATAAAAAGCTCCATCGACGCAATTGTCAACCGCCGTTCCTTCGTCTGCCCCCTCCCCTTAATACGCGACTGTTGTCTCGTCTGTGTCGCTTCAACAAAAAAAGAGGGAGAGGGGCAAAATCAATAATTCAGTAGCGTTTCGTGGGATTACGTTTTAACGCTTGAGTATGTTTTTGTTTTCAAAATCTGCCGGGATTACGTGATCTGGCTCCACTGGGAAGCCATTTTAAGTTGAAAGAATAAGTTTATTAGATAATAAATATTGATACCATTTTTCTATATACAAGCGCAACATTACATATCAAACAAATTGTAGAGGCAAAAGATCATTAGGTTCAGTCCCCCAAAATCTTCGGGGGCCTAAGTTTTGATAAAACTAATTTTGCGAACTTTTAAAGAAAATATTATGCATCAAACATTTTGAAGTTGATTTATTATTATGCTAAACTATATCTAAAGATATAAGTATACCTTTCCTTGAAAGTCCAGTAGAAAATACATGGACTATATGCAGAGCCAACAGTCTGCCAGTTACAACTTGATATAAAATAACAACCTTGTTACACTTTTGAAATCTAAAATGATGATATCTTCCTAATGTAATCTTTTAAAAATGAATATTGTATATTATTCTGTCCTCCTTAGCAATGTAATCATTTTGACTGCCAATGTAACTGAATTTGAATTAAACTTGCCGTCGATTTTTATTTTCTTTAAAAAAAATTGTAAATCGAAACAAACCGGTCTTTATAAATGCAATATGAAAATAGATTAATAAAAACACAAAATTTAACACGAACTCTAATAATGAACTCAAGTCCAAGAATCTGTTGGAAAAACAGTAATAAATGAATAAATAATTAAGAACGAAGCATTTAGGCCTATCATGGGGGAAACAGATTTCTTGCAGAATGCTACTTTGCAGAGGCTTTATAGAAATCCTATATTGCACAAACAACAATTTGAAAGAATTTAATCCTGGAGACGGGAGGATAGAACGGTATCATTATAACCCTCGATGGGGGAAAGAATGTTAAGCCTATAATATGTTGACTTTGATTTCTGATCCCCTTGTAACAAGAGGATTTCTCATCTTCAAAGGGTATTATACCCGAGCGAGACGCTCAAAAACAGGTAAACATGTCCATTATTCTCAGAAAAGTTTTGGCATTTTTTGAAGGAGGGAGTATTAAATCCAAAAGCGGCAGAAGCAGGGGCTTATTTCAGTGGGGCATAAGAGTCGAAACTTTTCTGCGAGGCAAGAAAACACGAATAAGCATTAGAGTATACTAATTTTTCTGACTGTGAGGGAATGTAGCGATCAAGCGAGAGTCGGAGGCATACTGAATTATAATTTTTGTTCTTCATTAACTTAATTAAACGATTTTGGGCTACAAACTTTTACTGAAAATTTTCCTCTAATTTTTGTTTAGTTTAGGGCACCTTTGGCACAGGTAATTTGTGTGGGGAACAATCCCCTGTTCCCCATTCTCTTGTCTACGCCATTGCTGCCACACCTCTCTGGTCCTTTTGATTGATTAATTGATTTGTTTTATTGTCCACATTGAGTGGAAATTCTTCTTTCACATGGTTACAACTATGTACAGTATATAGAGCATAAGTCAAATTGAACACATTTTAAGTTACACATTGCTCATTCAGTAGTCAGTAGAGCGTCCGCCTCACAACCGGGAGGTCGTGGTTTCGAACCCCGGCCGCGTCATACCAAAAGACGTTAAAAGATGGGAGTTGTTGCTACCTTGCTTGGCGTTCAACAATAAGGGATAGAGCAACGTCGATCTGGCGCTGCTCAGTGGCTACCGGGCTCACGATCAATTGGGCAAAAAGAATTTCCGTTTCGGTTTAATAAAATTTGGAGTGGACTATTAGGCTATTATTATTATTATTATTATTACTATTATTATTAATAAACTCAGCACTACATTTTTAAAACAATAAATTATACTTTTACATTTTAACTATATGATCATATGGACTCGTTGACAATCTGAGCGGTGGCGAAACACACTGAGGTTAACAAAAGTTATGACGTGGACAAAAGTTGTATTTCTGGGAAGACCGTGATATATATATAAAAAAATCAAATACAAATCGAATAGAAATAAAAATCGACGAGGCATTTGTTCTTCCAAGTGAACACACCTCCACACAACCACGCCCCTCTTTCTCCCACGTCCCTCCTCTCAGTCTTTATATCTATCTCAGCGACTATCTTTTCTACTCGCTTTCTTCTCTGCTCTCTTTCTCCCCATCGCCTGTTTTTTTCTTTCCTTTTCCCCTCCCTCTCCCTCTCTGATGCTCTCTCTCTCTCTCTCCCGTCACTTCACTCTCTCCCTTCTAACCTTAATCAATCTCTCTCTCTCTCTCCTTGCCTTGTCTTTTTCTTGCTATTGCTTGCAGTCCCTTGCTCATTCCCCTATCCATCTCTCTTTCACTCTCTCTCTCTCCTCTCTGCACCCCCTCTCTCTCTCTCTCTCTCTCTCTCTCTCTCTCTCTCTCTCTATCTCTCTCTCTATCAGAGTATATACATCCACACAATCCATCTTACCTTTTTTGTTCCCCCTCTCCCTGTCTCCCCCTCCCACTAAATCCACGCTGTCTTTATTTCTCTCACAGTATATGCCTGTGTTTAATCACTATAAAGCAGACCTCCCCCCCCCCCCCCAAAAAAAAAAAAAAAAAAAATGTATCCATACACATATTTAATTTCATTTTGCTTGTTTGATGATTATTACCACATCTGATTACACATTACAAATTCGACTATACAGCAATTTTCCTATACGTTAATTGAATTTGAAATTATTTACACGCACATATATATACAAGCAAAGTTGAATACAACACCGAAGACAGAGCCAATTTGAGATACAGAACGCCTGCTTCACTCATGTAAATAGAACTCTGCATCAGTTGATGGCTCGGTATGGATGAATACAGTAAGAAATTCAACAATAATCAGTCCTATTAAAGTCCTATATTTTTTTATATCGGCGAATACATGGACGGTCAATTTCAAAGTTTCAATTTATCAGCACCAACAACTTAGTACATTAATTGTAAATAATGTCTCCTTATTTCTCGCTGTTTTTTAAATATTTGTATCTGATACTAATTTGAACAGGAACCTCTGGGGAAACAGTGCATATCACCGAGGGGTCTACACTATATATAAGAGACTTGTTTGGGGATTTTATTTACCAACAGCAATACAGTAATACATTTCATAATGTGTTTACATATACAAGAAGAGAAATTATTTGTTGGTAAAAGGGGCCAGATAATGGCACATATGCTAGTCGAGCCTATTTGGGTACAAATCAGTCTAAAAAACGGAACAAAACAACAAATATGAATTTACTATTAAAATCGATACTTTAAATAATAAGAATTAAACAATGTTTACAATATACAAACTGACAATATAAAATATAATTTGCGAACATATGCCGATTATTTAACTTGATATTTCATTAATGATTTGTTCAACAAATGACTTGTAACAGAATTCCGAAACCTATTTCTACACCTTGTTAATCTGACATTAATCTATTCCAAAATTTACTCCCCACAAAAGACGATGAAAATTGACCGTGTTGTTCTAAATTTTGCAAGACGTAATTGTCCACCTTCTTTTTGTCTTGTGGAATAGCTATGTTCTATAATGTCACAGCATGAGGCAAATTGTCATTGACTATAGATCAAACATGAAAGAAGAAAATGATAAGTCATATAGATTATACACATTTAGGATTCGCAATCTTTTAGAAAACGAATAATAATAATGATAAGAATGATAACAATGATGATACTAATATTGAAATCAAAGATAATCAATAATAATAGTGATAATAAAAATTAAAGAATGATGATAATAATGATGATAATAAAGCGCTATGTGTAATGGCTTTATGTATCTCATACAAATTAGCCTTACAGCTCAGAGTATTTTGAAGGCCTTAATATAGACATCGTTGACGTATTAATTAAATTATACCATGCAGTGAGAGGCTCCGGTTGAAATTAATAACTCTCTGAGGTGATTTACATAGTACTGTTTTTAGGGGCGCAGCCCCAAAGCGAATTGTAACTGTGCTTGTCACCGGAAATTCGAGAATATTGAAAAAATAAGGTTCAACAACATATTAACAACTTTAAAGCGTATATTAAGAAGTATTAGGAAATATACAGGGGCGGATCTATGGGGGGTTCGGCGGTTTAAACACCCTCCTTGGGCGGCCAAGTGAAAAAAAGGGGGAGGGGGGGGGGGGGGGGGGGGGGGGGGGGGGGGAAGGGAAAAAAAGAAAAGAAGAAGAAGAAAAAAAGTAAAACGGCGCGATTTTTGGAAAATCCTGGATCCGCCACTGGTCAAACACCCCCCCCCCCCCCCTTGGCTAAAAGCTAGATCCACCCCTGATATACAAATGTTATATATTTCTTAATACTTATCATTCTAGAGGGCTATATTTAGATCAGCTGAACTATACCCATGATACACCTATAGATGGAGCTATTCACAAGTTATGATGGATTTATCAAGAGCGAATAAAACAAAATCATAAACAATCGCAAAGCCTTTCAAGAAACCAATGTTAGACAGTTTCAGAAGCCTTACTTGTCACCTTTTGAAACGAGCGAACTTTGCAGTTACATATTACATAATCTAGACAGGATTTCTATACTACGTATATAAGGGTATTCAAGTCACCCTTGAGTTGATATCTTGAAAGTCTATGCGATCGTGCTATACTAGAACTTATGAAAGAGTTCCCCAGGACCAGAAACACATTTTAAAAGGGCAATCTAACATTCGTAATGAGTTAATATTGTATGAATGAAAGCAGAATAATATGAGAACCAAAATGGCGGGGAGAAGTGTATAGATCTCTCAGAGAGGAAGTCCACCCTGTCGATATCAAGTTGGTTTTAGTAAAGGCAGAAAAATGAGGAAATTTTTTTTGTGAAAGTTTGAGTAAAATCTCATTGTTGAAGTTGTCATTAGTGAAACAATCGATTGATCGATCGAAACAACCGGCAACACTGTGACGTATCATGCAAGCTCCTCCCTCATTTTCTCTATACCAGGCCTGATAATTACCCGATTTTAATTTTTTTTTTTTAATTTTAGAGACGGTAGATTTGTTATCTTTTTCTTTTATTTTTTCTTCATATTTTAATTCAGACTTAGATGGTATACATCGATTTGCAGATGTGAGTAATGACTGAAAATCGTATAATTATATCTATTTTTTCCTTTTGCTTGAGAGGAAAAGTAAAATGGCCGCCACATTCAAAAGCAACATCCACAGTTTCAAATTGTCGGTCTTGTCAATCGACACGAACATCTGAAAAAGAAAAAGAAACAGACAGTCAATTATAATAATGATAATAATTTTATTATCCCACGGAAGACTCATCAGCATCAATGCTGTTCTTCGTGAGGTCCATGCGATTATCCAATTTTGTTTTTTGTTTTTTGTTTTTTGCGCCCGAAAATTTGAAAATCGCGCCGGCCGAAAAGTCGCTCAGTGGAGGGGGGGGGGGGGGGGGGGGGGGGGGGGGGGGGGGGGGGGGGGGGGGGGGGGGGGGGGGGGGGGGGGGGGGGGGGGGGGGGGGGGGGGGGGGGGGGGGGGGGGGGGTAGGGGGGGGGGGGGGGGGGGGGTGGTATCAATATCCATATTAATTATTATTTTTATTTTATATGAAAGAGAAATGAAAATACCTTAGGTTTAATTTTTTTTGAAAGTCTTTGTTACAACTTGTACAAACTATCTTCCACAAGATACACGACATGCAAAAATCTAAATAAAAATGATTGAAAAAGATCGGGTAAAAAAAGAAAGAAACATGAAATAGAATGAATGAAAATTAAAAAGATAGCTTACATTTTTTACTTTTACCAATGTAAATTTCGAAGAAACATCTCTTATCCTACTTTCCCCATTACCGGATGATTCGTTCCGAATTCTGTCTTCGCTGATGTCTTTCTTCACCTCAATGTTTGGACCTAAATTGAGAACGAGAAAGAGGGAACAAAATTTGCGATCGCAATTAAAGACTTCCGTTATCAGTAAAACGCAATTTCAGCAGCATTGGCCACCACCTGTTGAAAAATGCGGACATTACATCGACGAATACGTAATCCGAAAATCATTTCTAAGGGATGATACTGTACTGTAAGGTATCGAGGTTGTCCTTGAATTGATTTCTCGAAAGTTTTTATGACCGTTGTACGTGTTGATAGAGAAATGTGAAATGAACCGTGATGAACGTAGATCCATAATTTTCCTAAGAAAAGATGGGGGGGGGGGGGCGTGATGTCCGATCATGATGTCGGAAATCCCGCTGCATCGGCCCCAACTTAAACGGGGTGCACAAATAGACGAATAATCATAAAAGCAAAGCACTCACAACAACAACAATACTAACAACAAAACACCTTTCCACTAATTAACCCGTCATCTCAAATCAATATTAACCCTAACCCTACATAACGATTGTAGAGCACCGAAGTGTGACGTCATGTGAGGTGAACCTCATGCACAGGTTGAGTGTTTACAACCAGTAACCTGACGATGAGCGAATATGACGTTAGCACTTCGGCACTCTTTAGCCTGGAGCATTAACTACTGGGGCAAAATCTTCATCCAAGCAGATTGCTCAACTGAACATTACTTAAGAATAGTGGTACTGCCCTCTCTGGAAGTAATTGGTCTAGTGGTAATGTCCGTTATATATACGGTCCAGAGCCATCTATACACAGAGTTTGGCCAACCCGGTTTGAGTTGGACGATATGGCGACTGATACTTTGTTGGGCAAGCACAAAACAAAAGAATAGCGGCCATGTTGTGACCCAGTGAACTCAAGTTGGCCAACTCTGTATATAGAAGGCTCTGCGTGGTACGGTCAGCTCTCTGTCTTCACCTACGAACTGAATCCGAGTCACGTCTTTTGGACGGTGACGTTAAAGGTAATAATCACATCTGATATAGATACACGTCTGTAAAAAACTCAATTTACACACATACACACACACGCACACACGCACATCTTTCGTGGCACGTCCGTATAAGGGCTGAGTTGGCGGATTTTTTTTCTTCATCCATCATCAAACCGCCAAGGTCATGCAATGGTTCACTTTGACAATAAATAAAATTCGCAGTGTTCAAGTTTGAGGAATAAATATTTAGGAACGACAAGGAATGTCAGCTGTTGAGCACACAAAAGGGCGGTTGTACTCGATATTGCCCTTCAGACGGTTTATAATGCCAATATTGACCCTAAATATATAATAATAAAATTCATATTTCAATATTACAAAGAATATTTATTTATGCTGCCTCTATTCCATTCTTGGATATGAATTAATTTTCATACAACGTTTTCATAAAGGTTCGTATTTTCGAAAGCTCGCTACAAATAATCCCAAGGTTCATTCATCCGAAATTCCGAAAATGAAATAGGGTCCATTAAAACCGTAAACGAGGGTTCATAAAACTGAGAATTGAACAGGTTTGCTATTCCGAAAATGAAATTAAGGTTCGTAATACCAAAATTGGAGTAGAACCATATATCATTATCATTTTCGGAATTTATCAACCTTTGGAATAACGATTCTTTTGAATTAAATATGCCCCATGCATGAGAGTCGGGTAAATGCAACACTAACGTCTGAATTGACGAGCCCTATTTGTGTATTGAAATTATAATCCTTTGGGATTGTCAACCTTTAAAAAACGAACCTTAGAAGAGACGAGTGCCCCCCCCCCCCCAATAAAAAAAAAAAAAATCACCTCCATTGATGGTCAGCAACCACGCGTCCACCTTCTTATTCGTCCCCGTGAAAGAAGCGACCTCGTAGCCGTATCTCTTCCGTACGTAGTCGAGGAATTCTGCAGTATGATTTCGGTCGTCGCTTAGGGGGTCGAAAGGTGACCCGTCACCAATATTCGCGATGCTGTCGGGGAGTAGTTCTACAAAGATGGGCCTTTTTCGATGGACATCATCAGGCTCAATGAGGATAGACATTCCGCTGTACAGCAGCATGGAGCTCTGCAAAAGTTATAAAGGTGTGGTAACACTATTTAATACCAGATGTTGATTTAAAAAAAAAAAATTGTAATAAAAAAAAAAAAAAAAAAAAAAAAAAAATGCTAGTGGCTACCCTAAAATGGTGACCTTACCCCCCCCCCCCCAACGGAACAAAATGTCAAATTTTCAAAATTCGAGAGCAAAAAAAAAAAAAAAAGTGTCCTCTTAACACCCCCCCCCCCCCCCCCCCCCCCTCCTCACTGAGCGACTTTTCGGCTGGCTGAGTCGTTGCGATTTTTCTTGGACTCCCCCCGCCCCCCCAAAAAGTGTCCGCTTACCCCCCCCCCCCCCCCCCCCCCCCCCCCCCCCCCCCCTGAGCGACTTTTTGGCCGGCGCGATTTTCAAATTTTCCTGAGTCGTTGCGAAATTTTGGGCCCGATTTTAAACCCCCCCCCCCCTTGAAAAAATCCTGCGTACGCCTCTGAGAAGGAGTATAAAGAAGAAGAAGAAGAAGGATGAGGAGAAGAAGAAGAAGAAGAAGAAGAAGGAGGAGGAGAAGAAGGAGAAGAAGAAGGAGAAGAAAAAGAAGAAGAAGAAGAAGAAGACATACATTTACTAGATAATTTGCTTCTGCGACTCTTCAAATATAATCTGCTTTAAATTTAAGGTATCTAAGATGAAATTGAACTGCTTAATCCTTTCTAAGCGGTCATTTCACAATTGTGTGGTTTGGCTCAATAACTTTTGATTCAGAGCCCTAAAACAATGTGTAGAAAGAACAACATTTCTGCACACAATGTGCCCATGTTTACCGGAGTGTTGGCTCAGTCAGTAGAGCGTCCGCCTCACAATCGGGAGGTCGTGGGTTCGAACCCCGGCCGCGTCATACCAAAAGACGTTAAAAGATTGGAGTTGTTGCTACCTTGTTTTGGCGTTCAACAATAAGGGAATAATAATAATAGCCTAATAGTCCACTCCAAATTTTATTAAACCGAAACGGAAATTCTTTTAGCCCAAATTGATCGTGAGCCCGGCAGCCACTGAGCAGCGCCAGATTGACGTTGCTCTATCGTACGTCATAATTATGACGCGTTTTTACGCGTTTTTTTTACAAACCTGGTTTGTAAGAACGCGTCATAATTATGACGCACGAAAACCAAGGTTTGTCGACAAACCTCCTTTGTGAATTCGGGCCATTGCGTTTGAAGCCAAGGCATAGACAAAGGAAAATGAGTTCTATAATCCTTAAATCAGCAAATTTTGACAGTCAAAACAATAAAAGGTCTTACAATATGTTGAGATTAAAACATTATAATTGTTTCCAATATTAATCTACACTTTTTTCTTTTGTTTTGTTATGTAATGAAGTATTTGTTTATACTTGTTTATTGTTTTACATTGTATTTTAATTGTATCATGACGGTTTGCATAGTTTGTATGTACTTAAGAGACGATCCTGTATAAAGAACACAACATAAATAAATAATAAACATTAAATAAATATAAATAACTGTTGTTGTTATTTTTGATCAAACATGGCCATTCCAAAAACTTTAAAAATAAAGTTCTCACTCATGTACTGTTTTTAACATACTAATGCAGAGGAGCGAAAGTCTACCATGTTAGCAGTCATAATCACTTCCTCAGTGGAGTTGAGCGAAGTAGTCCACTCGAGGAGAAGTGCTAGCTTGAATAACTCTGCTAAGAGTGGAATCGACCCGCTATTTTTTTTTTAGCGTTGCATTCCACTCCAAATGAAGTAATTGCTAACTATGACTCCCTCAAAAATAAGTTTCCACTCTTGTACATGCAAATAATAAACAAACCCATAAGATCGTCTCCAAATTTACGCCTCGGTCGATGATGACGGTCAACTGGACCGGGGTCGCCGAAGCGACTACGAGGACGGTCGGCCGTTTTTCTTGCTGGCCGAGATGAGAAGTAACATGAACGGTTACGTTTGGTCGAAGCCGGTCGTCGCTGAACCCGAACTTGGAAAGTTCGGGGGGTTCATAGGTCATTGCAAGTACATGAATGTTAGAGTCACTGTCTCCGACGCACCCATTGGAAGATACCGTCTGGTTCCGGTAGGAAGGCGTGGCTATCGCTTCCGGGTTATCTTTTAGAATGTAGCATTGACCAACGTGAACTGCATGAAATCAAAGGGAAATGCAAGAATTTGTATGATTATATGTTTTATGGCATGAGAATCAACGAGAAGAAAACGAAGGTGAAACGGATGATAAGTTAAGGCAAGACAAAAGAAATAACTATCATGATAAATGGCAACAGACTCGTGCAAGTCAACCACTTCAAGTATCTAGGCAGTGTGCTGACTGAGGATGGCAAGTCTGCCAAAGAGGTCAACTTGCGCTCAGCTCTGGCAAGAGCTGCCTTCTTTCAAAGACAAGATACCCTGATGAGCCACAACATTGATCTTAGTTTGAGAAAACGTCTTGTGAAGTCCCTAGTATGGAGTGTACTGTTGTATGGGGCTGAGACGTGGACACTCACTAAAAAGGACATGCAGCGATTGGAGGCGGTCGAAATGTGGTGCTGGCGCAAATTACTAGGTGTGTCTTGGAGGGACAGAGTTTCGAATGAAGAGGTGTTACATCGAGGTCAAGAAAGGCGGGTGCTGATTCAAACGATTAGAGAGAGAGAGACAGAAGAAATGGCTTGGACACATAATGCGGCATGACGAGGGCTTGATGCTCAGAGTCATAGAAGTTCGTATTCATGGAAAGAAGAAGAGGGGAAGACCTCGTAAAGGCTTTCTAGACGATTTTATCACACAATGCGGAGCAACAGGGTATGAAACGATGAAATGGTTGGCTCAAGACCGAGGAACTTGGAGAAAAACTCGGTGAGACACTTGATACAGAATTTTGAATAGGTCACTGAACCTGTCATAAACTGACAGATCACTATTGATGATGATAATTATGTTTGTATCGCTCAATTGAGCAATTTTGTTCATTTCAATTGGCCATTTTTAATAATGTAATCAAATTTAATGCATAATCCTCGTTACAAATGATTTCATTCACCTGTTACGAATAGCCGTATTTCAATAGTCCGATAGCGAATTGCATACATCAATTATGTGCTGTTAGTTAGGGCAAACCATAATGTTTGTCCTACCTAGCAACAACTAATGTATGAAACTTGCAGTTCAGTTCGAAATAGCATTTTTGGTTTGCCTATATAGTTGAAAATAGCGTTGGGTATTTTTTCTCTCCATATTTATTATTTTTCCTCCACAGGGATTTCATTGATTTTCATTTGAAACAAATTAACAAATATATACTCAAGGTAATTTACATTTAATATAAATAAAATTGGCTTCTCAAGATACAAGTATTGTTGAACTGTTGAGTTAACAGAAAACTAACAAGTCAATAATTCATTTCTGATATTCATGGAAAGAAAACAAAATACAGAAGAAAAAAAATCATTTTATGTAAAGAAATTCCTGAATTGAAACCATTTTCTTGTGATTTTATTATTTCTACAATTCGAATGTGCAATATACTTTTCGTTTTTGAAGTAATTTATAATCGAAACTCTAATATTATCAAAGTCGGGCAATTGTTTCTATATTTTGCAAGTATAATTATACACCATCTGTCGCGTTGGGTATTCTATTAAAAACGTATTGATGGAGGTTGAAATCACAAACACTGAATACACACATCTATCGATCTCACAACGTATGAGTATGACATAATTCTAAGTTGATATGTATGAAGACGTGTCGAGCTATATACACGCTCTAGTTCTGTTATCTAGAAGGTGCCATTAAATCCTGGCATTAAATGTATATCTGACCAGAAATGGGATGCAAACTTCTGGATCAGTATTTTCCTCGCTAATAGTTTCAAATTTTGGTTGACATGACTAGTTAAAATCCAGCCTATTCAATTGGTGACCCTGTTGATGATGGCTCTCTAGAGAAAAGTAAAATTTTGAGCCATTCGATTGGCTGAGACGAGTGAGAGAAGCAAATGAAAAGGAAGGCAGTTACAAGAGAGAGAGAGAGAGAGAGAGAGAGAGAGAGAGAGAGGGAAGCATAGAGAGAGAGGGGGAGAGAGAGAGAGAGAGAGGGAGGGAAGCATAGAGAGAGAGAGAGAGAGAGAGAGAGAAGCATAGAGAGAGAGGGGGGAGAGAGAGAGAGAGAAGCATAGAGAGAGAGAGAGAGGGAGAGAGAGAGAGAGAGAGAGAAGCATAGAGAGAGAGGGAGAGAGAGAGAGAGAGAAGCATAGAGAGAGAGGGAGAGAGAGAGGGAAGCATAGAGAGAGAGAGAGAGAGGGAAGCATAGAGAGAGAGAGAGGGAAGCATAGAGAGAGAGAGAGGGAGAGAGAGAGAGAGAGAGGGAAGGATAGAGAGAGAGGGAGAGAGAGAGGGAAGCATAGAGAGAGAGAGAGAGAGAGAAGCATAGAGAGAGAGAGAGAGGGAGAGAGAGAGAGAGAGGGAAGCATAGAGAGAGAGAGAGGGAGAGAGAGAGAGAGAGAGAGGGAGGGAGAGAGAGAGAGAGAGGGAGATAGAGAGAGAGAGAGAAAGCATAGCCTGGGTTTAAATTCAGTATTCGTTAAATTGTTAAACCCGGTGCTGATAATCATATTTTATTTGCCATGTGATTGTAACGTGACGCTACATAAAAATAGTACCAGAGTGCCGTTTACTGTCATCAAATACTGTTCAAATAGCATGGTAGAGACGATGAACAAATTGATAAGAATGTGCAAGTTCGTTAGTCACGGGATTGTCAACTTCTATCTTTCTCTCTCTCTCTCTGGTTTGCATGTACGGTCCGGAGTATCGACGGTCGTTAAATTTAAGATCAGACCTTCGAAGGGTCATTAGATCTTCAAGTTCAAGTTTAAGTTCATTTTTATTCAAAACCACTCAAACAATATTTACATAAAAAAGAGACTGGTAATAGTTCATTAATCAACATGTATTAACTTGATTACATAATAAAATGAATGGATTTAGGACAAAATACGTACATTAACAATATGGCAAGGTGAATAAAAAGAATGTAACGCATATACAAGGGATGGAAACACTGAGCTACAGAATATAAAACACACAAATACTCTCACACACACGCACACGCACACACACTGATGAGTAGGTCCTTAGTGATCAAAAAGCATTTGAGAATGAGAAATGAGAAGAAAAAAATATGTCAGTCTTTCAAGTAGGTACGTTTTAGATAACCTTCTAAACCTAGAAAGAGTTGTACTATTATCATCAGGCAAACTGTTCCATTCTTTGATGCAAGAGATTTTTTTTCTTCCTGATTGAGGTGTCATTATGAAAGGGCAGAAACTCAACTTTCTAGAACTGTGATTTTCTCTTTGAAATTCAGATACCGTCCGCCAAATGACTTTTTGGTTTCCTCTCTTCTAATTCATTTTATTCACTCATGCGTGAAATATGCATTATATGAGTTGCATCAAATGAAAGAGGAGGATCTAAGCTATACAAATATGTGTCGTTTATCAATTATAATTGTGATTAAGTTATGATAAAACATGGACAATTCTCGGTTTCGTTTTTTCTGGGACGCACTGTATAACATGATATGAGTTCAATACTTTCTTCATGTTTCTCTTTTTTTAATGATATCAAATTATTAAATTGATATCAAGAATATTTTCATGAATTTATTAATTCAAATAACAATTTACTGTTGCCGGTAACTTTCTTTTTCAATTGCTTTCATTTACAATTAAGGGAGGGGGTGAGGTTAATAATAGACCGAAGAGGGAGAGATATATTATACAGTGTTAAATTGACAAATTCAAACTGATTGTAAACTTCTCCAATGCGGGTGGCATTAGGATAAATTGTCATTGTCATTGCCGTTGGTTGCTCGCTGATGATTGCCATGCATGATGTATTCAATTCAATTCAATAATGGTTTATTCATATGACGTTCTGGCAGCCGAAGCTGAATTGCAGGTCATTTATACAAGGTAAAAACATCATGATATTTAAAATACACTGAGCATTATACATGTTGACATAAAATAAAATTAATATAAAAGGATAAAAATACTAGACACATTTATACACATAATAGGCAACATCATTAAACATAAACATATACAAAAATACATGAAGCTTACTTTTTTGAATGATAATCGTTTAAGATACGAACAAAATAGGGAATAGAGCTATTATTAAAGCGACTGGTTTTACAAATAAATTGAGAATATTTCTGTTAATTTCGTAAATTAAATTTAACAATTCTTTGACTTGGTAGCCATAACGAGCCCAAATCATGCTTTTCTAATTTAATGGCGAAATCAAAACAAAGTTTATTCCTACGTTCTTCCATACGTATGTATGGTATAATCATAGAGCTATTAACATTTGATTCCCCTCGTTGATTCGTAGTAGTATTGGAGAGCAGCAAAGGCGAACGAATGTCGCTACAATTCAGAAATATTTGCTTGGATTGCTTTTCAGAGATATCAAGCTACATAGAGGTATGATCGACAAAAAAAAGATATTGTCTTGAAAACAGTCAGAAAACATTAGAACTAGATGAATAGAACATAATGCAAATAAATAAGACTAGAATGAATAGGACACAAGTTCATTTTACCATGTTAATCATAATAGTACCAAATCTACCCAAGCAAAATTCGAGCCAGATGCATATAATGGTAAGCTTAAAGACAATGATTCATGACAAATTTTCAATTATGATGAGTTTATTCTCTAGACGTATTGCAAAAGATAATCAGGATAATAAAGATCAGAATGATACCACTACTTCTTGGCCTACTTCTACATGTACTATATTACACTTCTGCCATTTAGCCCGGCAGCCCAGAGCACTTTGATCAAACAAACGAGGTACCAATATCTGAGTATTGGAACATTTGGGGAAAAACCTAGGATATCCAAATGTGGATGTCTGCCGGGGTCCCTCTGCTGCATGTGGCCCCTGGGGCCAGTTGAGAGGGGCCCTAAAATGCATCTGATCAAACGAACGAGGTACCACTTGAAACCAGTGTTAACTAAATGCATGAATGCCACAGAGCACGGAATAACCCATGCCAGACAAATTTTCTGCTGCTAAGGGCCCGCCAGACGCCCTTAAATGTGGCCCAAAAGCCCATATATTTA